AACGATATTAAAATAAAACTAATTAAAAAATTTAAAACTATAATAACCTTGGTTCGATCCACATCTAGGGGGTGGAGATGGTAGGTTTAGGGGTGGAGATGGGTGGGTTTAGGGATCAGGGGGTGGAGACGGGTAGGTTTAGGGGTGGAGATGGGTGGGTTTAGGGATCAGGGGGTGGAGACGGGTAGGTTTAGGGGTGGAGATGGGTGGGTTTAGGGATCAGGGGGTGGAGACGGGTAGGTTTAGGGGTGGAGATGGGTGGGTTTAGGGATCAGGGGGTGGAGACGGGTAGGTTTGTGGGTGGAGATGGGTGGGTTTAGGGATCAGGGGGTGGAGACGGTTAGGTTTAGGTATATGTAAGGTGGGAGGAGTTGGATGTGGATCCAACCTTGCCCCCTGGATCTTGTGTTCTGCAGTGAGGACCATCTCCTAAATAAATAATTATAATTTGTAGAGTTTATTTGCAAAAACTGACAACTCAAAAATTTTTAAAAATCATGTTTTTATTGTTATGTTTTTATTAACTGCGGTTTGATTGAGATTAATTGGAATGCACAATGAAAAAACATGATTTTTGAAAATGGTTAAAAACGGAGTTATCTGTTTTTGCTAATTAACTCTTCATTTACAGTTTGTGTGTGCATGAAAAAAGTGGTTACAATATGTAAGCAATAAACAGCATTTATTAATGTAAATGATTGAGATTACCAGTGTCTGTGTCTTCCTTCTTTATCTGACACTCTTTATTCCTGTCTTGTGGTATGACTTCACGTGTGAGGTTCACAAAGTCCTGAAGGGGGCAGCGCTGGGAACAGCCCGGTAAAGACACAGAGTACGGCTCAGACACATTAGTGTCATTGCGATAAAACATCTCCACTGAAAACGTCCTGAAAGAGCAAAGCAAAGGTATATTTTAGTTGACAAAAGAATGCCTACAAGAAACATTTAGGAAAAACACAGTCAATATGTTACCCGTTCTCTTCCTGGTGAAGTTCAAATAGATGACATGAGGCATAAGGTGGCTGCAGGCCATTAAAGACATTCAGAGCTTCCTGTAGGGCTACAATTGTTGTGTCATGCTAGTGAGGAAAGAGTTACATGAGAGAACATTACATGAACTGCTTACCCTAAAGAGGACAAATGTATTTTTTTAGTATGCTATTGACTGAAAAAAAGGAAGTTTGGGTGTTTTGGTCTGCTGATGTGACACATGACTTACCGCTGAGTATACCATCATCTTCACTTTCTGTTTAGAGTCCAGTGCTGCTGCATTTGAGAGATTCTTAATGATCTGATCTAACAGCAGGCCTGTAAATGAGAACATAAGAGCTGTTTTAGCACATTAAAGTGTGACAGGATCACAGTACTGCACTTGTGTATTCAGGTCTGAATGTAGAGCGGTCAATCCAGTTTCTTTACATTGACATTTCCCTGCAACTGCACACCGTTTGAGGAAGCAGCCTCTCCCTCTATTCCTACAACGCTGATTTGCATATGTGTGCATAAAAGTGTCAGAGTGTGTAACTATGAAAATGCTGTCAAGAATCTTCTCTCTTCTTAAGAAACTACTCTCAATGTTTAACCTCGTATAATGTTATTCTCTAGCTTTTGGTTTTTATTTGATTCTTATTATGTTTATTCATTTAGTTTTATTGTTGTTGCTGTTGTTGTTCGTGTAAAAAAAAAAAAAAAAAAAGCTCTGACCAGCGATAAGCTCTCACCTCCCTGAAGTCTGCACTTCTCCTTTCTCTTGTAGACTCCAAACATAATCTGAAAACCAAAGTTCTTTAACACCTTTAGCGTCTCCATGACACTTGAAGTCACCCAGTCTGGTGGTCGCATCCCATGTTTTGCCTGGGGAAGGAGAATAACAAAAAGAGACGATTATCTGATCTGACACAGTCCATGGTGTCTGTCTGAGCATTTGGATTTAATCGATTCT